AGAACCATGCAGGGGATGGTCTGGACTAGTTACTGACACAAGCTGTTTCACGCAGTTATCCTCCCATTCCTGTTTAAAAACAATCATACCTGCCTCATCAAAAATTATCCTACAGGTTTGCTTAATATCAAATGGAAGCAGGTCATCTCCCCCAAAAACACCGTCTATCAAGGTGGAAACCATGGCAGAATTAAGTCCTTTGTCTGTTATAGCTTTAGTAATCGCTTGTATGTTTTTCGGATTTACTGGAGAGTAACTCCTTCTGTCTCCCTCCATTTGAACCGGGAATGCTAGTGAAGCTGACGTAGCCCATTCTGCATTGGTAGCTTTAATTTCCTTCCAGTCCGTGAGGGGGGTTAGTTTTTCCTGTGGCTCAGGTTTATTTTTATTTTCATTTACAGTTACATCTGCATTCCTTTTCTCTTTCACCATATTCAAATCAGTCGCATCCCGCTCCCCCCTCTCTCGTCGCTCGCTTTGTGACCTCCCCCGGTTCGTGTCTGACTCAGTGTCCGAACTCGAATGACTGATTACTTCCGGTTTGCCGTGCCTCTTGCCCGGGCTGCGGCCCCGTCCCACTCCCCTTCGGACACACGGGTGACTGCTCTGCCTCTCTCTCGTGCTAACAGACCGTTCCCTCCTCCTTCTCTCATCCCGCCCCCTGCTTGGGGCATTGCACTTGCGCGAACCTTTTTTCAAACGACTACTATAACCAACACTCCCCCTCCGACTCACACCCCCCTCCCCTTCACTCGAACTTTCTGTTTCACTCATGCCGCCTCCTCCACTCGTACCTTCACTATCACTTGCACGACCTTCAATGCACATACTTTTACTTTCATCCCGCCAGCATCCACCATTCCTCCCCCCTCCCCTGGTCTCCCCCCTCCCAGCATCGTCCTTGTTCACAAACCTCCCCATTCTTCTCCTACTCCGGCCACCGTTATCTAAAATCCGCCCTTCTCTTTGCCCTCGGGGGCCATCTTGGGACCCACAGGGCAGTGGCTCATCTCTAATCCCTTCAGACTCTGCATTTTTCATAACTCTTCTAGCTTCCTCAGCCAACGCGTTAGTACGTTTATCCCACACATCAGGGTGGAGAATATCCACCGCCTCGTCAATGACCCCGATTTGCAAAAGCCTTGTAACAGCAAGAGTAAAATCTTTAGCCTTGCAATCTATACCCCACTGATTATAAAGCTCTGATACGACCTTCACAAGGGATTCCATCCTCCTTGTTGGTCCGGGAGCGTCCTCCCCGCCAGACTGGTCCCGCCGTCTGGCCGCCCTTCACCCGAGCTCAGGCGAGATCCCGTCCCGATGCCTGGAGAGTCTGGCAGGTGTTCCGGGCTACACGGAGACCTTGAACATGTTCCCGGGTTTCGGCACCATATGTTGCATGACGACCTGGTCCGGGAAGGGTACGGTGACTACGTCTTAGTCACTCGGGCCATTAACGCACAGACACTAATGTGGTGGGTGGTAAAATGGCCTTTATTAGTTTGTAACATGGCCTTTTATAAGGTTTAGTTACATTGTCACTTCCGTCTGCTTACGTTATCTCCTAGCTACTATTGGCTATCAGGCATTGGAGGGGGACGGTCCCTGTCTTTCCGTACATCCCGAAATCTTCCGAACGCCGGGCCCTGTCTACCCACAGTCTCCACAGAATCTTCGGCTGCCATTCCCTCGGGATATGGAAGACAGGTGGGATGACATTCTGGGATAGTGAGGCATTGGTTCTTTGGTGGCCAGGGGGCTTTGCAGAATGGAGAGAACAGGCCGTGATATCTGAAAGGGATCGATGGCTCACGGGTGGGGCTGCACTGGGACACTGTGGGGCATGTGTTCTTTGGTTTCCAGGGGCCATTCTGGAATGGAGAGGGTAGGTCATGATGGCACAAAGAGTGTCATGGCAGAAATGCTGAGCTGCATTCTTGGGTTGTGAGGCATTATTTCTTTTGTGTCCAGGGACCTTTCTGGAATGGAGAGGATAGGTCGTGATATAACAAAGGGGCCAATGGCACATAGATGGGCCTGCACTCTGGGGGAGTGGGTCTTGTGTTCTTTGGTTTCCAGGGGCCATTCAGGATGGTCCTCAGATACCTGGGTTTTTTTGGCTCTCAGATCTACCCGGTACTTTTTGGTCTTCAGGTCTCCCCACTTCTTTTTGGCCTTCAGGTCTGTCTGATTCTTTCTAGCCCTCAGGTCCACCCGGTTCTTTTTGGCCCTCAGATCTACCAAGTTCTTTGTGGTCCTCAGGTGTGTTTGGTTCTTTTTGGCCTTCAGGTTTCCCCACTTCTTTTTAGCTCTAAGATGTCCCCGGTTCTTTTTGGCCCTCAAATCTACTTGGTTCTTTTTGATCCTCACGTCTGTCAGGTTTTTTTTTGCCCTCAAGTCTCTCTGGTTTTTTTTGGCCCTCAGGTCTACCAGGTTTCTTTTGGTCTTTAGGTCTCCCCGGGTTTTTTTTGCCTTCTGGTGTTTTTGATTCTTTTTGGTCCTAAGGTCTACCCAGGTTTTTTTGGCCCTCAGATCTACAAGGTTCTTTCTGGCCTTCCAGTCTACCTGTTTTTTTTTTTTTTTTTGCTATCAAGTCTGTCTAGTTCTTTCTGGCCCTAAGATTTGTTTGGTTCTTTTTGGCCCTCACGTCTGTCCGGTTCTCTTTGGCCTTCACCTCTCCCCAGTTTTCTTTGGACCTCACGTCTGTCTGATTCTTTTTGGCCCTCACGTCTTCCCGGTTCTTTTTGGCTGTGGTGGTTTTAGTCTAGGCCTTCCTGGTGACCAGTTTGTAACCAAGGAAGTAGCCAAGTACCCAGTATTCCATACAATTTTTACATAAACCAGAGTATAAATAAGTCAGAGATTAGAGACCTCTCCCTCTTCTCTTCCGGTGAGGTCTGGGAACAGTGGGTCCCTGCGTTGGTCTCACTTATCTAAGGCTGAGGCCTGCAGAGTCCACCGTCCTGCCACGTGGAGGTTTGGAGAGTGCTGGCTGTGACTGCCAATCCTGGTGTTCTAAGGGACGTGGTGAGATCTGTTTTGTTAGTTATTAGTATAGTTCTTGAGTTTGATCTAGTATACCTGTTCGGTGTCCCTTTTGTTCCCTTTCGTCCCCTTTTTTTCCCTTTCCCTATTCCTTTGGGGGGGTGGATCCCCTTTTACTGTGTATATAGCATCTTAACTGTACATAACTGTAATTTACATAAATACAGATATATTTTTATATAAGCAGCTTGACTTTGGGTTCTTTAATTTTTATAGTTTCTTTTCCTTTAACTTAAGGGAAGAAAGGAGGGGGGAAGGGGGCTGCTGTCGTAACTTTCAGGCATTTGGCAGGGAGCCAGGTCCAAACCGTCACAGATT